CTCCAGCTTAGTATAAACTTCAGCAGGTTCAGAAATAGGAACAGAGGTGGAGACATGTACTAGCAGGAAAGTTTTCTTAATAGGTAACCCAGTTCCCCCTTCCATCAGTATCTGGATTTCTGTTAGAGCACCCATCCTGGAGCCTAAAAATGCCCCTTGAGCAATTTACTTCTTTCACTCTGGGGTTAAGGATCATCTTTGCCACGCTCTATGGGAAGGAAGAGTTCCTGATGAAGCAGTAAGGTTAGCGGGCAATGGGTGCTTTGCCCACCCCTGTTTTCTGCTCCTCTTTGATTCTATAGGACCAGTGTGTAGAAATCACCGAGGAATCCAAGGCTCTCCTGGAGGAATACAATAAGACTGTATCCTTTCTGTTCAACCAGGCCTTCACTGGTGCTGCCCCCAAGCCCTGTCCTTTTTTTCCACCTCTCTTATCCCATCCCAACCAGCATGTGGATTCCCCAGTTCCCCTCACCCTCACCAGTTTGGGCAGATGCAGAAATCTCTCCACTCTCTCATTCAGACAGTTCTCACCTTGACCTGCGACCAGACAATGCTTCTGTCCAAGCAGTTCGTGCAGTGGGATGAGCTACTTTGCCAGCTAGAGGCTGCCAAGCAAGTGAAGCCAGCCGAGGAGTGACAGCTGCTCCCCATCCCAGGGTGGGCTAGGACCCTGTGCATCTCTGTCTTTGTAACAAGGCAGAGGCATCTTCATATTTATTGGATTCAAGAGCCACTGTCCGCATTCAGGTGGAGCTTTGAGGTCAGGTCAGGCTACCTGAGGTTTGAGATTTGCATCCCTGCTTCCCATCAGTGTTCTTTTTCCAGTGACAATAAACTATAGAGATCACGGGAGGAGTGTGCCACTTCCTGGTCTAGGATGGTGAAGAGCTGGTGGTGAGGGGGTGGTGGAGGGTAGAACTGTCAGCCTGCCTAGTGGTTGAACTGGGAACTATACTCACAGTGATCTGGCTTCCTGGGAGGTGAGTACTCTCAAGATGAAGGCTCTCATTTGATGTGAATGAGACATTCTTTCATACATCCACCTATCCACATTTACCAGTACCCTCTGAATGTCAGATGCCATGCCAGGTGGGGAGGACACAGGGCACACCTAATACCCACCCTGCATGGGCTGGTCGGGGAGACAGTAAAGGAAAGAGGAATCCTTACAAGGTGGGCACAGGGTCTTTTCAGGGGCAGAAGAAAAAGGGGCTGAGGCAGGAATGGGCAGCTCTGCAGGGACTTTCAGAGTCAAGGGAGTGGCTTTTTTGTAAAGGCAGAAAGGATCTTTAAAATTTCTTTTGTGGGCGTACCTGATACCATTAGTCCAGAAGGGGAGCCCAAGAGGTTTGGATGCAGGAAGTTTTAGGTCCACGGGGCAAGATGAAACCGAGGAGTGGAGGGCTCATGACAGAAAGAGCAGGAGTCGTCACACTGCAGTTCACCTAGTGTTTGCTGCCCCCTTGTGGTCTCAGAGGGCTCTGCCTTCAGACCCTCTTTTTTTTTTAAAGCATTATTTTATTAATTTATTCATTCATTCATTTTAATTTGACCACACACACAGAAAGAGAAAGGGAAAGTGAGAAAGCAAGCCACCAGCTCCAGGAGGCGAATCGTGTTGGCATGTGGGAGTGTCCAGCGCCTTAACCACCAATCCACCTACTGGTCCCCCAGACTCTGTAACTGCTGCTGGCCACCCGCATGTTCTCACTAGCACCCCAAATTCAGCATATCCAAACTGGTCTGAAACTCGGGAGTCATCCTAAACCGGAGTATTCCCTACCTCATCTAAGTAGTTGCCAACTCTTCACCGAGCCTACCCAGTACTATATAGGAGCTTAATCTCCTTTTCTCTTTCCTACTGCTGTTTCTGGGTCATTAATTCAAGCAAATTTAACACGTTAGAGCACTATTATACACTGAGCATGGTACTGGGCTCTGTGGACACACTCCCTAGGCTAGAGACAAAAGAGGCCGCAGTTTCCTGCACCGCTCCACCACGGCGGTGAGCCGAGCACACGTCTCGGTCCCCGGCTGAAACCCGCGGTAGTTCGCCCAGGCCCACAGGATGCGGTCGAAACTCAGAACTCGGTAACTAAAGCTCTTGCCCGCTCAGCAGCAGCCACTCCAAACTGAACCACGGTGACGCCCGCCGCTTCACCTTTGCCACTGAGGTGTGTACACTGGGTAACTCCAGGCTGCCACCTTCTAAGGCCAAATTCCTCATCCTTCAGACGGCTCCGCTCGCCCGTCGGCTGTCTTCGTCCCCATGAGGCGTGCCCCTGCCTGGAGCGTAACAGCGGAGACGAAGCGCGTGTGTCCTCACTGCGCTGCTCCAGGACCGCCAAGGCGTCCTGTCTCCCAGGCGGGACTGCGGCGCGGCCCCCGGGCACGTTCCCGCAGGCCCCGCCCCGGCGGCGTGCGCGGCTCCGCGGACTCGGCGCGCTCCCGGCATGAGCGCCATCTTGGCCTGGGGTCCGGTGCCGGGCGGCTGCGGAGGCGACTGGAGACCCGGACAGTCGAGGCGGGCCAGGGGATCCTGGGAGATTCTCCGCGTCGAACCTCTGCTCCCGAGTTTCTGAGGGGCCTGGATTGATGCAGATCAATCCTGGTAATCTCCGGGCGAGGGGTGCTCGGCCCCCTGCTCGGGATCACGAGGAGGAAGGGTCAGCTCTGTCTTTGGGGGACGCTGGGTCTTGGCTGTGTCCCGGGGAGCTTGGGGGGAAGAGATTGTCCCTGTTGTCGGAGAGCGAGGAGCGCTCAGCCTCGTTCCGAAGAGGCTGGGGTGAAGCGCCAGGGTCCTGACTCGGGGAGCCAGAATGAGGGGGGCTTGGTTTCAGTTCCGGAGAGTTTGGGATGAGAGGCCTCGCCTCTATCCGGAAGAGCCCCGTGTTGGTAATTTGGTCCTGTCTGAGGGACTAGGGGTGAGGGTGGGTTCGGGGCGGGGATGTTGTGGTCCTGTCTGGAGGAACAGGGGTGAATGGAGTCCCACCCTTCCCAGGATGAGGCCACCTGGCCCCTGTTAGGAAGCTGGGGATGAAGGGCATGAGCCTTACCTGGGAAGTCGAGGTGAGGAATAGGCAAGGAGAGGTGGAGGGGCTGGTGGGAGATGGCCTGGAGCACGTTGCCTGCTACTTACCTGACACTTCTGCAGCAGGCACACGACCGCAAGCAGGATGGAGCACTACCGGAAAGCTGGCTCTGTAGAGCTCCCAGCACCTTCCCCAGTGCCCCAGCTACCTCCTGATACCCTGGAGATGCGGGTCCGAGATGGCAGCAAAATTCGCAATCTACTGGGGCTGGCGCTGGGTCGATTGGAGGGCGGCAGTGCCCGACATGTGGTGTTCTCAGGTTCTGGCCGGGCTGCTGGGAAAGCGGTCAGCTGTGCTGAGATTGTCAAGCGGCGGGTCCCAGGCCTGCACCAGCTCACCAAGCTTCGTTTTCTGCAGACTGAGGATAGCTGGGTTCCAAACTCACCAGACACAGGCCTAGATCCCCTCACAGTGCGACGCCATGTGCCTGCAGTGTGGGTACTGCTCAGCCGTGACCCCTTGGACCCCAACGAGTATGGCTACCAGCCCCCAGGGGCACCCCCTGGCCTGGGCTCCATACCCAGCTCCAGCTCTGGACCCCGACCTCGAAGAAGGGCCCGAGACACCCGGTCCTGAAGACCTGCTGAGCCAGGCTGTTCTCCAAGCTTGAATGTCTGGGATGACTGTGCCTTCTCTGAGAAGCCTCTGACTGTCCAACATCCCTCACAAGACTGGAGGCCACATAACTGGGCCTCCCTTACTGCTTCCCCTTTCCTCAGGAATGTGGGAAGGGATTGCCACAAAGAGTGTCAGCATGGGGTCTCTGCCAAATTCTGGATTGCTTTAAAAGGGCTTACTCTAACTTCTACCGAAAATGTGTCTGATCTGCCTTCTGACAGAGGTCTAAGGAGGGAGTTAGAAAATAAAGATTCTGCCCATTTGTCTGATGAGCCTCTGGTTGACCTGTTGTGTGGAAATGGTATTAAAAGGATAGGAATCCGGGACCAGCAGTTGGTGTAATGGCTGTCACTGGACTCCCATGTAGTCGACCACGGTTCAAGTCCCGGACCGGTGGCTTAAACTCAAGCCGGGCACGTGTGCATGTGTGCCCAAGATCCCGAGAGGAGAATGGAAAAGGGATTGCAGCTTGGCCATCTCCCGAGGGGTGATTTCTCGCTTTCTGTCTTTCTAGGGAGTACATGCACCCTATAGCAAAAACCTCTCCAAAAAAAAAAAAAGTGAATGGGAATTCTTGCCTTTGTTCCTTGGGAGTTTGTAGGCTAAAGACAGGAAGGGTAAGCTCAGGCTGGCACTGGCAGGATCTAGCATCAATAAGAAGAAACCTCAAGCAGTAAATTATCTGTGCCCCAGGTGGTTGCTTACCCTCTGGTTTGGACTGGTTTAGGGACTCCCCGAGGTAAGACATATTTTTCATCTGTGCTGCATGATAGAGTGGTTAAGATCATGGACTCAGGCACCAGCCGGCCTTGGTTTAAATCCCAGTTTTGCCACGTGCTAGTAAGTTACTGCTCTGTGCCTTAGTGTTGCCATTCAAAAACAGGAATATAGGGACCAGCAGTTAGCATAATGGCTATGTTGCTCGACTCCCACGTAGTCGACTGCGGTTCGCGTCCAGGACCCAGTGGCTTAAAACTCATGCCACGCGCGTGTGCGCGCGTGCCAAAGATCCCGAGAGGAGAATGGAGGAGAGGGATTGCCGCGTGACCATCCCCCCTGGGGGGGGGTTCTCGCTTTCTATCTCTTTGTCTCTCTTTGTCTCTCTCTGGCGAGCGCATTCTCCCTATAGCAAAAACTTCTCACAAAAAAAAAAAATAGGAATATAATGGAGTTTCCTTATAGGGTAGTTATAAGGATGAAATAAATATGTGCAAATACCACCTGGTATATAGGTATATAAATGTTCATTGTTAATGACTCCATGTACAGACACTTTCCTAACTTAAAAACACCTCAGTCCCACATTTCCCTCCAGGTCTCATCCTTGCTGCTCCTTTTCTGCCTTACCTTCGCCTTAGACTCAGATTCAGCATGGGGAGGTCAGGGACATGAGAGGTGAAGTTTGGTTGCATCAGTAGCTGGGGGACTATAGGCACTAGGGCAGAATTGTGGGCAGTGGTAGACTGAAGAGTTGAGGCAATTAGTTCTTCCATAGACATTAAGATTTTTCTCCAATGTATCCAGCAGCCTCCGTGTCCACTTGTGAGAAAGGAGAAGATTGGGGCTCATCCGGGCTCACAATGTAGCAGAGGGGCCCAGCAATTTGGGGGTGTTGAAGGGATGTCTGGCCAAGACCAGGCAGGAGGGTTTAAGATGTTGGGAGAGGGAGTTGGCAGACTGGAGGCCTGGAACAGGGGTTAGAAGAAGAGTTTAGTGACCATAGAACCAATAGGTTGTGGTCAAAACCAAACTGCATCTTTTGCTTTCCAAGATAGGTCAGCCTTGAGTGATATGGGGGACCCTGGAGGTAGGCAGGTGATGGAGATTCTGGGATGTCCTCAGTGGCTGCCCAGCCAGACCTCTTAATGTAAAGGGTCATGAGGCAACTTAATCACCCCTAAAAGTGATTATGGTTGCTGTGGTGGTGACTCAGGTGTCTTGCTGCCAGCAATTGCCTGATCCTCCCCCCAACTGTCCTGTGGCTAATTCAGGGTTTTTGTTGTCAGCCTCTGTGTGGTGCTTATCCTCTGAACAAATGAGCAGAATCTTCATTTGTGTGTCTTTTGCCATCAGCAGTGTCATTGGGTCACCAGAGCTTTGGGGCCAGGCTACCCAGTACATGACTGGTCTTTGGCTCAGCACCCTGTCCTGATCCAGTCTGCTGTGGCCAGGTTGGAGGGATCACATGGACTAAATGGGGACCTCTGTAGAAGGAGGCTTTCAGTGAGATGGCATCATAAGCTCTGAAGTCCCAGGAGGGGCCCCATGATGGCAGGCGTATTGGTTCCTTGGGAAGACCAGGAGCTGCAGCTCAGAAAGTCAGAAAGTAGGCCACAGGCCGAAGGAGAAATGGCCAGTGATTCTGGTGCATGTTCTCTTCCCCCTCGACCTCTGCAGGGGCCAACTGGGAATTGCTGGAGGAATGACAGGGTCCTGGCCAGAGAGATGAGGCCTTTGGAGTCAGGAAGCCTGACAAAGTTCAGGAGGGAGTAAACATATGAGGTGTTGATAATTGTTTCCCACTTTCTCCTTAATACGCTGCAGTGTGTCTTCTGCCACCCTCATTCCTTGGACGGGAAGAAAGTGGAGACAGTTCTTTCAACAAGTTGGATCGTGACTGGAGAAGTGATAGTTAGCTGGAGAGGAATTTGGAGTACAGAGAACTTTTTGTTTTTACTTTTTAAATGTGGCAGTGAGTTGAGTATGTTGGTGGCTAATGAAAGAAGATGGAAAGAGATTAAAGATGCAGGAAATTGTAGATAACTCACAGCATGAGGTTCCTAAAGGAGTGAAAGGGAATGGGATCCAAAAGCATCCAGGCAAGGGCCTCCCAGAGGGAAGAGAAGAGTTGACTCCCTGTGACAGGAGGGAAGGAGCTGAGGATGGGGTGTTTGCAGACAGGTGAGGAGGTGAAGGTGGGACCTAAGGGAGTTCAGAAGGCATCTAACACTTTGAAGCGGAAGTCTAGCTCAGCAGCAAAGCGGGGCAAGGAGGCTGCTGGGGAGGAGGTGTGTGATAGTTGTTGCAATTTGGAGAGGTGTGTGTGTGTGTGGGGGGGGGAGCATGATGAGACAGGGCTAAAAGCCCAGTTAAGGCTGGTGAGCATGCATTTGGAATGTCACTTGGAGGATAGGAGCTCCAGCAGCGATCACAGAGCAGGTGAGGACTCAGAAAAAGCACTGCATTCTTCAGACAGGTTAAGACAGTCAGGAGTGATGGAAGAAGAGTAAGGAGACTAGCAAAAGAGCGCATAGTGAAGGACTGAAGGCTGAAAGCATTCAGACTGGATTTCAAGTGAACTAAGAGGGAGCAGGGTCACTGGCCTGGAGATGCCCATGAAGATCTTTGAGGCAGGATGAGATGGAGTGTCTGAGGACGAGAAATATTGAAGCCGTGTTAGTAGTTTCCAAGGGCTGCCATAATGAAGTACTGTAACCTGGATGGTGAAGAACAACAGAATTTACTGTCTCACAGTTCTAGAGGCTAGAAACTAAAAACTGAGGTGTTGAAACCTATAGGAGAGGCCTTCCTTGCCTCTTCCTGCCTCGTGATTTGCTGGCGATCTTTGGCATTCTTGGCTTATAGATGCATCACTCCAATCCTCTTTTATTTTTTTCTTTTAAGAAGTATTTTATTTTTACTTATTATTTTTTAATTTGACCAGAGAGAAAGGGATAGTGAGAAAGCAAGTCTCCAGGTCCGGGACTCAAACCACGGTTAGCCATGTGGGAGTCAGCACCCCAACCACCACTCCACCTGCCTGCCCCCAGTCCTCTGTCTTCATGTGGCATTTTCCCTGTGTGTCCTCACACCATCTTCCCTTTCTGCTTGTCAGAACATCACTCACTGAATAAGGGCCACCCTAATGGCTTTGTTTTAATTTGGTTATCTCTGTAAAGACTCTGTTTCCAAATAAGGTCACATTCCGAGTTGATGGGGGTTACTTTTTCAAAAGTGGGGAGTGCGATGTTTATTACAGTAGCTAAAGGATAGGTTGAAAGAACTGATAGGACTCGTTTGTGGGTAGGAGAGTTGAAAGTCAAGGGGGAGGGCTGGAGAAAAAGTTACTGAAAATGAAGTTGGTGAGTTCAAGAGGATGGGGAGAGAGATTGTGATAGTGGAGTAAAAAGAGCCTGGTCACGTGAGTCATCCTGGAAGGAGTATGATGAGTACTCTCACTACCTGCCCTAGGGGTGGCGTGTATAGCCACTTCGTGTTTGTTACCCGTGAAATGAGGACTTCAGGGGCCAACAGGTTGCATGGTAGGTAAGGTGCTAGATTCCTACATGATGGGCCACGGTTCAAGTCCTGGGCCTGGTGGCTTGCTTTCTCACTTTCCCTGTCTCTCTGTCTCTCTGGTGAGCACGCATACCCTATAGCAAATTTAAAAAAATAATAATATGGGAACAGGTGGCATGGTGGTTAAGGTGCTGAACACTCCCACATGTCCAACCACAGTTCGAGTCCCGGACCTGGTGACCTGGTGACTTGCTTTTTCAATTTCTCTCTCTCTCTCTCTCTCTCTCTCTCTGTGTGTGTGTCTGGTCAAATTAAAATAAGTGAATAAATAAATAAAAATTAAAAAATTATTTTAAAAAAATAATAATGGATCAGCAAGTGGTGTGGTAGTTAAAAGGTGCTGGATTCCCACATGGCCAACTGTGATTTAAGTCCTGGACCCAGTGGCTTGAAACTCATCCCAGGTACTCGTAAGTACGTGCTCAAAATCCCAGAAGGAGAATGGAGGAGAAGGGATTGCAGCGTGGCCATCCGCCAT